AACAACGCGTGTTAGACAGCTATGATGCAGCAAATTAGTTGAAAGTCTATCTCGACTCGTGAACCAGTCACATACATGTTCAGACCGTGTCTGGTCAAATATTTTGGCTATATTATGTATATACAACCCAGACTCTGTTTGTCAAAGCTGCGTCTATTCTAAACCCATCCTCAAGCCTGACTCGTCCAAGCTGCGTCAGACCCCAAAGACGCATACGTCTATTTTAACGTACCCCCTGTGTAACAAAAACAGTATTTTCTCAAAATATGATGTATTTGTGTATTGTCAAGTCTAGATTAGCTCAGAGGTTTAAGTTCTGTTCATATTCATATTTGTAGTATTTGGCTGTAGTGACCTCTCGATGGTAATCATGCATTATATGAGAATATGTTGTATATATCAGTATGTGTAGTATATTCTCTCTCTCTCTCCCTCTCTCTCTCTCTAGCAGCTCGCTTCCTCTCAGTTTTTTTGCTGACCCATGTCCAGTATGCTGTCAACTCTCCTTGCTTCCTCAACATGTACGCCAACTTTTCCTTTCATCTAGACCTCAAATACATTCTCTCCACCGTCTACCATCGTCCATTCGTTTTCAACTGGTTCCTGCAATCTCAGTGTTATATGCTTTCACACGTACACAGTTTATTGACTTCTGTAAGACAAAAATAAACACGGAGAGAGAGAGAGAGAGAGAGAGAGAGAGAGACAACACAGTCAACATGAGAACTCCATTTCCTCGAAAGTGTTACTGGCTTAATGTGGGAACGGATTGCGTGACCAAAGCGACATGCCAACACCAACAGGAGCATCAACAAGCGTGCAGATCTATATTTATGCTTAGCAATGGAGGGGGGAGATATTTATCTCTGGGAGATGCGAGAAAGAAAGTTCAGCTCCCCTCTCTGTTCCCTTTATCCGGCCCAATTCAGAGTGTCTGCAATGCTGTCTACCCTTCACGGTATCACTGCAATCATTACACAAAACACCCACACACACACACACACACACGGGCCAAAAGAGCAGAGCTCAACCCCCTGCAAGCACAACTAGGTGAATACACACACACACACACACACACACACACACACACACACACACACACACACACACACACACACACACACACACAAAACAGGTTTACTCCGGCCCAGGGGGAAAAAACAGAGTAGCAAAAGGGGAATCCGTGGTTCAATCAGGCATATAAGAAAGCAAAGATAGCTAAGCACAAGGGTATGGAGAAACTATAGAAATAACAGGACACCAGAGAGAGAGAGAGAGAGAGAGAGAGACACCAGAGATGTGTACTTCAGTATGAGTACTGAAGTACATTCGTTTCTGGATGGCCAGAAATGTGTACTCCAGTATGAGGAAAGAAGAAGAGAAATAGTTTGGAAATGACATCGCAAATAAAGCCAAGACCCAACCAAAGCTGCTACACAGCCACATCAGGTGGAAATAAACGGTGAAAGAACAGGTGATGAAACCGAAAAAAGGTGAGGATGGGTACACAGAGAATGACAAAAAAGTGTGTGAAGAAATCAACAAAAGATTCCAGGAGGTTTTCACAATAGAGCAAGGGGAGGTCCATGAATTAAGTGAGGTGGAGATAAACGAAGCAGACTTGGAAGATATTGAAATTACCAGAGATGAGGTTAGGAGGTATTTCGTTGAACTAGAAGTGACTAAGGCTGTTGAACCTGATGGAATCTCATCATGAATGCAAAAAGCCTGATATATCACATATGTCAGACCAAACATAGAGTATGCAGCTCTTCCATGAAGTCCATATCTAGTCAAGCACAACACCAAGTTACAAAACATTCAGGGGTGTGCTAACAGATTAGCCCCGAAATGGAGAGGCCTGATTTACAAGGACTACAGGAATTCAACCTCACGTCGCTATAAGAAACGAGAGCTGGGGGAGAGACATGATTACCAAATAAAAGATTTTTAGGAGAAACGATAGAGGAAATAGAAACAATTTAGCAAATAGTCTGATCTCTATAAAGTTTCATCTTCATTGTCTGGTGGCGAGGTGACCTTTGACCTCCAGGAGCTTGCCACGTGGTTGGTAGGTTAGTCCATCACCACTTCCCTCCTCACACTCCATCTCCTTCTGAGAAAGGTCAGGAAGGTTGAAAATGCGTTCAGCATTTACACAATTTTCAAATGTAATTGGTTTTTCCCGCATACTTGGATCCGTATACTCTCCGTACACTTATGAAGCACCTCTGCACCTCGGAGCAGAGGTACCACCTCTGGTGTGCAAGATATATATTGAAGATATATACACTAATATATATTTATTAGTGTGTGTGTGTTAGGGGAAAGATAACACGATGAAACAGGTGATTACAAGTTTCCCAGAATTTCGCGAAGGGAACTTCACTGTTATCCACGAGGATGATAAGATGTGTTTATTAAAACATCTGAATAAAATTTACAGATGAAAGAAGAGGGGCACTCACCGGAATGACTACTAAGTGGGGGGGTACAAAATACAGCGTACAACGGCTGGATAACTTTTAATCCTTCAGAGGGAACTCTCAATGGCATCAAAACACTATAGCACTCAGCTTACGAGACACTGGATAGGCACTGCCGGATAAAAACACTGTTGGAAAAGGCACGTGTCGCGTCGCTTTGAAATCATTTTTTTGGGGATGGACACGAAGCCTGTTTGGCTTATCAAGCTACCCCCCCCCCCCTCCTTCCCTTTCCCTCCCCCCCCTCTCCCGCTTGGAATAAAGGGCCTATGAATAGAATAGGGCTCTAAAATTTACAATTGAATAAGCCTCATAACACCTGCTATTAAAATAGGTCTCTAATATACTTGAGAATGGAAGAGGGCTTTCAAGAATGAAATCGAGAACTCACAAATACAGGTGACATATGAATGGCTCACGGCGTCTTTAATTGGTCTCGACATATGCCAATTAAACAACAAACAAGTGAGAGGAACAAAAGTGCAAAAAAGAAACGTAAAAGACCATTGTGAGTGTCGAGAGAGAGAGAGAGAGAGAGAGAGAGAGAGAGAGAGAGAGAGACCGACTAACTCTCCTTTCCCCCTCTCTTCCTCCCACCTACTCTCCCTCCCACTCTCCCTAACACCACCAGCAGACCCCGAGCAAGGCAAGAGTTCCATCAATCACTGAACATACACACCCACCGACCTCTGGGGGCTACCACAGCAAGCGTCGAGGGCGTAGGGGAGACACCATTGGTTATTTCAGAAGCTCCAGACGATCTAAATATTACATCTAGAGACATCTCGCTACCCAGGCTTGGAGACCGAGAGCTGGGATCTACTTGGGGGCCATATATATATATATATATATATAGTCCCCCCCCCTCCTCAGTAAATAATACATTTCTATATGTGCAAACATGTACACGCTTCATACATGGCAAGCATAGTTAAAAGGGGATTTTTTTTTAAACAGCAAAGCACAATCCCATTTATGACACTATTATTTATGTATAAGAAGACAACACACACACACACACACACACACACACACACACACACACACACACACACACACACACACACACACACACACACACACACACTCACTCACACTCACACACACGAGCAAATGCAATGTAATGACGATAGGTGTAGGGAGCAGGAGGCCAGATACAAGGTACCATTTGGGAGATGAAATTCTTCAAGGAGTCAGAGAGTGAAAAAGACTTGGGGGTTGATGTCACACCAAACCTGTCCCCTGAAGCTCATATCAAGAGGATATCATCAGCGGCATATGCCAGGTTGGCCAACATAAGAATGGCCTTTAGAAACTTGTGTAAGGATTCATTCAGAACCTTGTATACCACATATGTCAGACCAATCCTGGAGTATGAAGCCCCAGCATGGAGTCCCTATCTCACCAAACACAAGACTAAATTGGAGAAGGTTTAGAGGTTTGCCACCAGACTAGTAACCGAGCTGAGGGGTATGAGCTACGAGGAGAGACTACGGGAACTAAACGTCACGTCGCTGGAAGACACAAGAGTTAGGGGAGACATGATCACCACATACAAGATTCACAGAGGAATTGATTGGAAAAATTGTTTATTTAACACCCCATTAGGTACTTAGGTGGAAACTGAATATCCAAATGAGCCATAGAAACATTATAAAGAACTTGTTTAGAGTCACAGTAGTTAACAAATGGAATGCATTAGACAGTGATGTGGTGGAGGCTGACTCCATACACAGTTTCAAATGTAGATATGATAGAGCCCAATAGGCTCAGGAATCTATTCACCAGTTGATTGACAGTTGATAGGCGGGCCCAAAGAGCCGAAGCTCAACCCTTCCTAAGCACAACTAGGTGAGTACACACAGTGTCAGCGAGGCGGACAGCACTAGTGCTATCAGAACTCATTATTTTGATAAATCCAGGTTTGAAAACTGGGATATTAATTGGCAAAACCAATTATCGCGTGACGTAATAGACGTGTGATCGATAGACTGCTTCAGACATAGATCAAACATGTATATGAATGAGTTTAAATGGATATAACTAGGAGCTAACTCATATTTGAGATATATACAAGAGTTGTTACATTCTTGTACAGCCACTAGTACGCGTAGCGTTTCGGGCAAGTCCTTAATCCTATGGTCCCTGGAATACGATCCCCCGCCGCGAAGAATCGTTTTTTCATCCAAGTACACATTTTACTGTTGCGTTAAACAGAGGCTACAGTTAAGAAATTGCGCCCAGTAAATCCTCCCCGGCCAGGATACGAACCCATGACATAGCGCTCGCGGAACGCCAGGCGAGTGTCTTACCACTACACCACGGAGACTGTTAAGGGGCCAATAGGCAGTTTTCTGGGTTATTATACACTCATGTTCTTCATTTCCCGTTACAGCAAACATCTTTTGCTGTAACGATGTGTCCACCCAAATCTTTTACCCGTACACTGTACCCCTTTATTTATCCATCTTTACTATGGAGATAATCCTCACGCCGTTCTCTTTCTCCTATCAGTTCAGAACACGGGGTCAGAGGTCCAGTCTCTCTCCTACTGCCGGATCTCCACTCGGGACCTGATCTCCACGGCCCAGAGCACCGCCAACAGGGTCCTCCAGGGCGTCTGTAACCCCCGTAAGTACCCAGGGCACCGTCAGGGGGCGTCTGTAACCCACGTAAGTACCCAGGGCACCGTCAGGGGGCGTCTGTAACCCCCGTAAGTACCCAGGGCACCGTCAGAGGGCGTCTGTAACCCCCGTAAGTACCCAGGGCACCGTCAGGGGGCGTCTGTAACCCCCGTAAGTACCCAGGGCACCGCCAGGGGGCGTCTGTAACCCACGTAAGTACCCAGGGCACCGTCAGGAGGCGTCTGTAACCCACGTAAGTACCCAGGGCACCGTCAGGTGGCGTCTGTAACCCACGTAAGTACCCAGGGCACCGTCAGGGGGCGTCTGTAACCCACGTAAGTACCCAGGGCACCGTCAGGGGGCGTCTGTAACCCCCGTAAGTACCCAGGGCACCGTCAGGGGGCGTCTGTAACCCACGTAAGTACCCAGGGCACCGTCAGGGGGCGTCTGTAACCCCCGTAAGTACCCAGGGCACCGCCAGGGGCGTCTGTAACCCACGTAAGTACCCAGGGCACCGTCAGGAGGCGTCTGTAACCCACGTAAGTACCCAGGGCACCGTCAGGTGGCGTCTGTAACCCACGTAAGTACCCAGGGCACCGTCAGGGGGCGTCTGTAACCCACGTAAGTACCCAGGGCACCCTCAGGAGGCGTCTGTAACCCACGTAAGTACCCAGGGCACCGTCAGGGGGCGTCTGTAACCCCCGTAAGTACCCAGGGCACCGTCAACAGATACACCATAACCCATGTAAGTGGTATACTATCACCCCCACCCCATGTAAGTAGGGGGGGGTGTAATTAGACATAAACTATGGCTGTTCGAAAACATTTTAAGCTGCCACTTAGAACCTCGCTTGAACTTCGAACTCGACATTAATTGGTAAAACGATGGAAACCATATTTTAAATTGTTAACGTCGAGCTCAGAAGAGCGTCGACGTCGACGGTGTCGTGACCTCTAAAGACCATCTCAAAATGAGCGGTTTAATTACTCTGAAAGTTCACCTATTGTGTGTGTGAGAAAATTTTATATTATCGCAAATCACGCGATAAACTAACTTGTTTGAATTGAAAATGAGATTTGTCTTAATTTTGCCCATCTATTTATAAGGTGTCGCAAACAAATATATATATATATATATATATATATATATATATATATATATATATATATATATATATATATATATATATATATATATATATATATATATATTAATAGGGTATTAAAAGTATCAACACAAGACAGAACACGAAACAATGGATATTGAATAGAAGTGTTTGTAGAAAGCCTATTGGTCCATATTTCTTGATGCTTCTATATTGGAGCGGAGTCTTGAGGTGGGTAGAATATAGTTGTGCAATAATTGGCTGTTGATTGCTGGTGTTGACTTCTTGATGTGTAGTGCCTCGCAAACGTCAAGCCGCCTGCTATCGCTGTATCTATCGATGATTTCTGTGTTGTTTACTAGGATTTCTCTGGCGATGGTTTGGTTATGGGAAGAGATTATATGTTCCTTAATGGAACCCTGTTGTTTATGCATCGTTAAACGCCTAGAAAGAGATGTTGTTGTCTTGCCTATATACTGGGTTTTTTGGAGCTTACAGTCCCCAAGTGGGCATTTGAAGGCATAGACGACGTTAGTCTCTTTTAAAGCTCTACGAAACAGAACGCTTTAAAAGAGACTAACGTCGTCTATGCCTTCAAATGCCCACTTGGGGACTGTAAGCTCCAAAAAAACCAGTATATAGGCAAGACAACAACATCTCTTTCTAGGCGTTTAACGATGCATAAACAACAGGGCTCCATTAAGGAACATATAATCTCTTCCCATAACCAAACCATCGCCAGAGAAATCCTAGTAAACAACACAGAAATCATCGATAGATACAGCGATAGCAGGCGGCTTGACGTTTGCGAGGCACTACACATCAAGAAGTCAACACCAGCAATCAACAGCCAATTATTGCACAACTATATTCTACCCACCTCAAGACTCCGCTCCAATATAGAAGCATCAAGAAATATGGACCAATAGGCTTTCTACAAACACTTCTATTCAATATCCATTGTTTCGTGTTCTGTCTTGTGTTGATACTTTTAATACCCTATTAATATTCTCTAATGCCACATCATCCTTCCCACCTCACTCAAATGTAATGCCACATCACCCTTCCCACCTCACTCAAATGTAGATATAAAATCAGGGAAACGCAAGTTCTAATCAGTTGTGTATTTGTGAAGTCTTTGAAAATATATATATATATATATATATATATATATATATATATATATATATATGTGTGTGTGTGTGTGTGTATGTGTGGGGGGGAGAGGGATTCATAATCATAATATAAATTATTCTAAAGATTGGTCATTCCGCGTCGTTAAAGAGGCTGCCTAGAGACCGGACCGTACAAACCACTAATACCCGAGGTTAGGATAAGTTAGGATAAGTTTTATATTAGGTTAATTACTCATACAAAGAGATGAATGAGACTCTTACCCCTCATATCTTGCTACAGTACCCCCCCCCTGTCAGGCAAATACAATAGTTTTAGCAAGAATACAGCATGTAGAGAGGGTATCCGGCCACTGTGGAAGTTTTCGGCGTTCATGTACGGCTGTTTAACCGGCTTCCAGTGGGAATCAAGTTACGGGCTCACCATACCCCGTGCTACTTGGAACTTTGTTCCAAGTAGCGAATCTTTAACAACAACAACATTATTCCAGTGGGAGTTTGTCTCCACGGGAAGCTGGCATTCAATCACTGTCTGTCCCTGAACTATATGTTTAACAGATCTCTCACTCTGTCCATGGAGGGCAGATGAAAATATATATATGCTGGTTAGCATTGTAAATGTGTGGCCACGTCCGTGGTAGAAAATAATAATAGTAATAAAAACTGGCTTTCTTGAAGCTTTGAGAGCTGGCCGCAACTCCGCACCTTCACTAACACACGGGAGACATCTTCCGTCACGCAGGGTGCAGTTGCACCTCCACAGATCTCCAGTATCATCTATTGATACTGGTAACGGCTCAAAAGGGCCACCACTTACGGGCTATTCATGCCCGTGCCACCTTTTGGGTGGCTTAATCTTCATCTTGAGGTTATCTTGAGATGATTTCGGGGCTTTTAGTGTCCCCGCGGCCCGGTCCTCGACCAGGCCTCCACCCCCAGGAAGCAGCCCGTGACAGCTGACTAACTCCCAGGTACCTATTTACTGCTAGGTAACAGGGGCATTCAGGGTGAAAGAAACTTTGCCCATTTGTTTCTGCCTCGTGCGGGAATCGAACCCGCGCCACAGAATTACGAGTCCTGCGCGCTATCCACCAGGTTACGAGGCCCTTCATCAATCAATTCACTAACCACTTATCTAACGATGCATCTGGTAAATGCCTCCGGTCACTGGCTGACAGGAAGTTATTCGCCTATTCAGTCAGAGTGATGCCAACTTCCCAAAGTGGTGCTACAGACTGATTCAGTTTCGGTGATTCGGGAGTTCTAATTTGTTTGTAGGAAGACTTGGCGTGTCCTAGTTGGTGGAACTGACCTGTGTAAATTTGATTGGTTCATTCTGGCAGGTTTCTGAATTTCATAGTCCGATGATATTACGAGTTAATGGCTCCATCCCTCTGGATATAAAAATACGATATATAATTGAAAATTATTAGTCGCTTTGTCCTCAGCAACACACATGGTGGGCCAGCCAGCATGTACAAGGGAGAGGAGCGACTAGTGTGACATTACCGTAAGGAATATGTGCCAAGACAACGTGCAGGAATACAGAGCCGTCAAGCAAAGAAACATTCCGTCACTGTCTAAATTACATGCAGACTGCACTGTATAACTATACACTTATACAATGTATATATTTCTATACACACTGTCAGAGCCGTTTTCAGAACGTACCTTCCCCATTTCCGAACGCTCAGATGGCAAGAAAAATTGACCGGGGTTGCAAAAGCAATATAAGACCGTGTCTGCCTGTGTTGTCTGTCCATTATCGTCCAACACAATGGGAAACAATGGGCGCCTCGACGTTGGTAATTTCAGCTTGTAAAACCAACTGTACCCGAAGCTATTCAAAATACAGGAAGCTCGATAGTCAAAAAGAAGATATATATATATATATATAACTATTTGTAGTGGCAGGAGAAATGAGTGAAACGTCATAGCAATTTTAATCTCTTGGACCCGGACGGTGCAGAAACGGCCTCGCATTTTTACGGGTTGGCGTTCGAACCCCGAGGAGTGATGAGGTTGGGTAGCGTCCATCTACCAGGTCCTATCATGATATTATACGAAAATATTTTGTTTTGACAGTGACGAGAAGCCTGTGTGTGTGTGTGTGTGTGTGTGTGTGTGTGTGTGTGTGTGTGTGTGTGTGTGTGTGTGTGTGTGTGTGTGTGTGTGTGTGTGTCAACTGCCCTGCAAGAGGTGTTGCGACAGCCGTGATTAAGAACAACTTTTTGGAAAGAGTATATTTTCTTGACCACAATTAGCTGTCGAGAAACGATGTTGACACCTAGTCTAAATTTGGTGATATAAAGTTGTTGTTGTGAACAGTATTTCAGAGTTCATTAACGCCAGGGTGATACAACTCCTTCAGGGTTTAGTAAGCTGAGGATGACGCAAGTACTTTAGAGGTTAGTGATGGTAGGGTGTACCATAGGGGTTAAGGCAGTGTCTGGGATGCTCCCGGACGCAGGTTCGAATCCTCGTCACGGCCCTTGTGGATTTGTTCATTTACCATAGGGGTTCAGCCTAAAAACGATGAATTTTAATTCAGTTCTGCGGATTCTGCGTAATAAGAACTAATGTGTAAACATATTTTGATGAGTTTTGCCTCGGTTGAGTTGGAAAGAAAACGGGTGAACCAGTATTAATATCAGCATAAACATGGAGGTCACAGGACATGCTTTTATCTCTCAAGAATATCCTGCTTCACTTATCATTTAGAAGATGCACAATGTCGCCGGATAAGCCTCGTGCGACCTACCTCCCCGAACTATATTTTGTGTATAGTTAGACCTAAGTTAGGTCAGGTGTTTTGATTCTATTGTCAATTATTTGCGGTTCGTGGATGAAGCATTTAGAGAGACGCTCGAAAGTCTTCAGTTATGATTCGAGCGGCGTGAGTTATGCCTTATTAATTCACGAGCATGAATCAGGATGAGGAGATTGGAGGGATGAAAAGCGGCTGAATTAACAATCATTAAGCCAGTGTTAATGGGCACGGATTGGTATATTGTTCGAAATTCCCAGAACAGTGAAACTAACGCAATACTCTTGGTTCACCTGTCCCGTGAATCAATTAGTCGACGACGGCCACTAGAGTATTGACACAGCGAATACCAAAACAGAAATGTGTACCACCCATTGAGCACATTAATTACTCACTTCATTACAAATATTGACAATCACAAAGACCCATTCATAAATTTTAACATGCCATATAACCATTTAACATGCCATTTAACATAAATTTTAAAATTTAGCATTCATTTAACATGCTGGTCATTCATTTAACATGCTGGTCATTCATTTAACATGCTGGTCATTCATTTAACATGCTGGTCATTCATTTAACATGCTGGGCATTCATTTAACATGCTGGTCATTCATTTAACATGCTGGTCGTTCATTTAACATGTTGGTCATTCATTTAACATGCTGGTCATTCATTTAACATGCTGGTCATTCATTTAACATGTTGGTCATTCATTTAACATGTTGGTCATTCATTTAACATGCTGGTCATTCATTTAACATGCTGGTCATTCATTTAACATGTTGGTCATTCATTTAACATGCTGGTCATTCATTTAACATGCTGGTCATTCATTTAACATGCTGGTCATTCATTTAACATGCTGGTCGTTCATTTAACATGCTGGTCGTTCATTTAACATGCTGGTCGTTCATTTAACATGCTGGTCGTTCATTTAACATGCTGGTCGTTCATTTAACATGCTGGTCGTTCATTTAACATGCTGGTCGTTCATTTAACATGCTGGTCGTTCATTCAACATGCTGGTCGTTCATTTAACATGCTGGTCATTCATTTAACATGCTGGTCGTTCATTTAACATGCTGGTCGTTCATTTAACATGGTGGTCATTCATTTAACATGGTGGGCATTTCAGGACGTTGAGCCCTGAAATCATCGCAAGGTAACCACCATTTGAAAGGCAAGGTAATTGTGAGGTGAAAGCACTATTGTTGTTATAGATTTAGCTACTGGGAACAAAAAGTTGCAAGTAGCACGGGCTATGGCGAGCCCGTAGTGCACTTACCTAGCACAGGAGCGGTGGAAAGCGCTAGACCATTACGACTATATAGCATTCGGAAGGGATGAGGATACGGATTTGGGATAGGACGAGGGGGGGGGTTGGAGGAAATGTAATGGTGCCCCAATCACTTGGAGGTTCGGGGATTGAACGCCGACCTGTAAGAAACAAGACCGTCTCTTTACCGTCCAATCAAAGCGGTTGGGCACGCCGGTTGAAAATAGCTGATGCATTTTTACCTTTGATATTTCCCCTTGCAACTTTGCAATACATTATTGCAAATGATGGACATGTAGACAACTGAGATATAGGGCCCCATTGTGTAGTTATTGCAGTGCATGAACTCGCTTAAAAAAATAAGTATGTTTTATTTGTGTGTTTTTTGTTATAAAGACTAACAAAATTTTTCATTTTTATATTTGTGACTAGTGAATACACGCCTCGCAGCTGGCGGCCTGGGGCCAGATTCACGAAGCAATTACGCCAGTACTTACGAACGTGTACATCTTTCCTCAATCTTTGACGGCTTTGGTTACATTTATTAAACAGTTGACAAGTATGAAAACTTGCCAATCAACTGTTGTTATTGTTATAAACAGCCTCCTGGTGCTTCGGAGCTCATTAACTGTTTAATAATTGTAAACAAAGCCGCCAAAGATTGAGAAAAGATGTACAGGGGCCAGATTCACGAAGCAGTTACGCAAGTACTTACGAACGTGTACAACTTTCCTCAATCTTTGACGGCTTTGGTTACATTTATTAAACAGTTTACAAACATGAAAACTTGCCAATCAACTGTTGTTATTGTTATAAACAGCCTCCTGATGCTTCGGAACTCATTAACTGTTTAATAATTGTAAACAAAGCCGCCAAAGATTGAGAAAAGATGTGCAGGTTCGTAAGTGCTTGCGTAACTGCTTCGTGAATCTGGCCCCAGGTTATGACAGGTGGTGCTGATGTCTGCCAGCTGCTGCCATTATTATGTGCTGACATTCCCAAATTTCCATTCACCCTTTTCATACACCCTTTTCATACACCCTTTTCATACACCCTTTTCATACACCCTTTTCATTCACCCTTTTCATACACCCTTTTCATACACCCTTTTCATACACCCTTTTCATACACCCTTTTCATACACCCCTTTCCTATTTCCCCTTCCTCCTCCTCTTTTTCCTATTTTCCTCAGAAAATATGAAAACTAATAGATCAGAAACAGAAAAATAGGTAGAAAACAGGTCAAAAACTGCAATGGGTTCTAAAATCTGCCACCAGTGGTGGTGCAATGATCGATCACGTTGCAAGACTTGCTTCGATGCCCACTCACAAGTGTTGCAAGAGCCTTGCTACTCAAGACAAAATCCCAACCCCAACTATACGTCAAACATTATAAACAAAATTATATTTACATTGCAACGTCAACTCACAGTTCCATTCCCCCTCTTCATATAAAGACACAAAGGCTATATATAGCTCATGTGGTGTTCACCAGGAAATTAACTATGCTCGTAACTGCTTGTAGGGGAGCTGAACGAGCGGTTCGTGACGCTGGAGAAGCAGGTGGCGGACCAATTCAACGTTCTCAAGACCATGGCTCTGAACATCGAGGACCAGTTAAGGAGTCAGGACAAGCTGATTAAGAAGCACCAAGACACACTACAACACGTCATTAGAGTCGTCAGGTAGGTGGAGAAATGCTAATGGCTGCAGAGGTGAAGATTAAGTTTTGGGGAAGATAGAGGCTGTTTGGGGAAGTTTTGGGGAAGATAGAGGCTGTTTGGGGAAGATAGAGGCTGTTTGGGGAAGATAGAGGCTTTTTGGGGAGGTTTGGGGTACATGAGGCTGTTTGGGGAAGTTTTGGGAAGATAGAGGCTTTTTGGGGAAGATAGAGGCTGTTTTGGGAAGTTTTGGGGAAGATAGAGGCTGTTTGGGGAAGATAGAGGCTGTTTGGGGAAGTTTTGGGGAAGATAGAGGCTGTTTGGGGAAGTTTTGGGGAAGATAGAGGCTATTTGGGGAAGTTTTGGGGAAGATAGAGGCTGTTTGGGGCAGATAGAGGCTTTTTGGGGAAGTTTTGGGGAAGATAGAGGCTGTTTGGGGAAGTTTTGGGGAAGATAGAGGCTGTTTGGCGAAGTTTTGGGGAAGATAGAGGCTGTTTGGGGCAGATAGAGGCTTTTTGGGGAAGTTTTGGGGAAGATAGAGGCTGTTTGGGGAAGTTTGGAGAACATAGATAGATAGATAGACAACATATAATGTTAGCACAGAAGGTAGCTTTTGAATAAAAGCTTGAGGATTATGTTAATGAATGGCTTTTTACACTTAGGGTGGATGACAGTGGGTGAGGTGAGTGAGAATTTATGTGGGTGACATTTGATGAATTGGGTGGTAATGGGTGAGATGAGTATAGAATCATTCATGTCAACATGCAGCCTTTTGCAAGCACACCTGCGGCCCGTACAAAGGATACTGCAATTTGGTCACTTAACTACCAAAATTGCAGTTTTTATCATTTAAACTATCACCTTTTCATAGATTTCCAGCTAGTTATTGGTAGATAAGGATAATCAGTTTACTGATGTTCCATGCTACACACACGTCCGCTGGTTATCATTTCTCAAAGTGACGAAAAGATTTTATTTCTCGAGACGAGAAATAAACATGTTTTTGGAGAGGAAAGGTTAAAAAAGATGGAAGTGGGCTCCAGGATCTGGCTTTTGCTGTGGACATTACTGCACAATTATTTGATCTTCATTTGAAATTACAAAGTAAAAACAAACTCATTACTCAGATGTATGATGACATCAAGTACTTCATTACAAAACTAAGCTGATGGAAGTCACAGTTGTCAAATGAAATATTTAGTTAATTTTCCTAAGTGCAAAGAGCTGAAAAAAACTGTCAATACTGAGTCTGTACTTTGATAAGAGTCACCTGGAACTGTTGTCAAATGAATTTCAGGAAAGATTTCGTGATTTCTCCTCTTTTGAACACCACTTTGTTATATTACCAGCACCTTTGATATTACAAAGGCAAAATAAAGCCTGCAGATAGAACTATTAGAAATGCAGCTGGACTTTACACTCAGAGCAAAGTTTCTTGAAGTGGGGATTACCTTGTTTCTTTTCATACCTTCCTGCAAGGTCTAAAAACTTCAGAAAGTTTGCCACAAAGATTATGGTAATGTTCGGGTCTACCTGTGTGTACTCACCTAGTTGTACTCACCTAGTTGTGTTTGCGGGGGTTGACCTCTGGCTCTTTGGTCCCGCCTCTCAACCGTCAATCAACAGGGGTGTGTGTGAGTGTGTGTGTGTGTGTGTAAACAGTTATTTTCCTTCGTGAAATCAACAAAATCATCTCAGAGAACAAGGCTGACTGATCAACACTTTGTCATTTCTGATCAAAGTGAGAACAGCATAGAGATAAACAGATAAACATATAGCATATAGATTTTTGTTATTAAAGAGGTGTCAAGACTCGGGACAAAACACTAAAAAATTATTTAATAGCTGTAAATAAATGCTCATTTTGAACTATTGTAATTTTTGTACAATGTTTATATTTATTGTGGCATAAAAGTCTATGTAGCCGTTTATTTTTGGGTTTTTTTATTAAACTACTTCATTACTTTGCATTCATGAATATGGCCAGCCGCTAAACGATTTGTATGCACATTGTATGTTTCTAAGTTTAAGTAATACAAATATTCTGCAATAATTTGTATTAATTGACTTAAGAATTAGTTGTGTGTGGCCCTCATGACAACACAAATGTGGCCCTCATATGGCCCTCTGAGGAGCCATGTGGGGCCACATGTCTTTTGTAGATGATGCGGTAAGCAAACGTCGGACTGTGAGTGACAGTGAGTGGTGACGAGTGACAGTGAGTGACCAAGAGTGACAGTGAGTAACCCCGAGTGATAGTGAGTGACCAAGAGTGACAGTGAGTGACCCAGAGTGATAGTGAGTGACCAAGAGTGATAGTGAGTGGTGACGAGTGACAGTGAGTGACCAAGAGTCATAGTGAGTGACCCCGAGTGATAAAAACAAAGCCAGATGGGGTCAGATAATCAATTAAACTGGGTCGTTCTAATTAACAATGCATCAAAGGGATTTTCAAGATGAATAAATCCGGCTGCGGTATCCGGATGGATTAGGTGATGAATGAGCCGGAAGATATGTGACCCTTGTGCAATTGACGACAACCGGATGCACGAATTCAATGCAAAATTCGATCACGCTAGAATTGCATCACAATTAGAATGATGACAGTGAGTGATCATGACTGACAGTGAATGATCATGAGTGACAGTGAATGATCATGAATAACAATGAGTGAAGAGATTAATAAATACACGTGGCATCCCCTCCCTACCCCCCCTCCAACCACCATTAGGAAGGGCACAGAGTCAAAAATTCACACAACAGGCCAGTCAAAATAAAAAAATTTGTTTTTCGGATTTGTTTGTAAATTAAATACGTATTTTTTTTATAAAAACAAGGTTAATACCTGGAGTGGGGCTCCGTGGAGTAGGTTACCTGGAGTGTCTTCTGGGAGATATTCTACTCCCTCCCCCAAGCCCGGCCTGGGCTCAGGCCTATTTCCCATATATTCATGGGAAAGTTAAAGTAAATTAACTTGAGGAGAGCGAGGAGAGGCGATTGGCTCACGATCACAGGTACCTGTGGAATGCTTCGCGAATGGAATATTGAGATGTAGTTGACAATCAATTAGTGTAATACCATCACAGGCAGGATAGGCATGCATATATACCTCGAGAATTGCTCACAGCACGAGACATGCAGCGCAAGATGCTAATTGAACTTGTAGGAGGAAGGGCAAGGGGATTGACATCGTCTTGGAGACAGATGTGGTTGTTTGATCATGATACTGATTGAACTACGAGCAATTAGAGGCGGGATAGACCGTTTTGGACAAGGATAGGAAGAGATTGATCACCCACGACGTTAGTAATACGCACTTAAGTGTCTTGGTCTCTCTCTCTCTCACGTCTGTAGAAATCTATAAGACGAGGAGAACTTGGGCTCTATACTGGATGGGATATTTATCAGGTCTGAGAGACGCTAGACCAATGTGCAACTCTCAAAGTTGGAAACAGAAAACAGTAGTAGAGAATTATTACCACATAAGATACAACCAAAAGAAGCACACACACACACACACACACACACACACACACACACACACACACACACACACACACACACACACACACACACACACACACACACAGATATTAGAAAGAACTTTTTTAGTGTCAGAGTGGTTGACAAATGGAATGCATTAGGAAGTAATGTGGTGGAGGCTGACTCCATACACAGTTTCAAGTGTAGATATGATAGAGCCCAGTAGGCTCACGAACCTGTACACCAGTTGATTGACGGTTGAGAGGCGGGACTAAAGAGCCAAAGCTCAACCCCCGCAAGCACAACTAGGTGAGGTGAGTACACACACACACACACACACACACACACACACACACACACACACACACACACACACACACACACACACAGAACATGAATGCTGATGACAATTCCACTTTCACTAACACACAACACAATTGGAACACAAGGGGGACTCATCATCATACATATTACAACCTTACAACTTGAGAAGACCCGAAACTGCTTGCAAACTATTTACTAAACTTCCTGAAGAAGCAATATGATTTGTAAATTTCCTATGAATCTCATCACTTGCAGAGATCCCATCAAGTTTACAGATTTGAGCTAAAGTATTAGAACAGTTGGTAATTAATAACAATGACTTAACAACCTCTGAAGACAATTTCAAGACGGCAGAAGTTATCTGAGAGTGTTGATCAATGCTTAATTCTGATCGCAGAGTAAATCCAGGATTAACTAGTCTAGGAGTCACGTATAATCGCTGTAACAACCCATTGGAGCAGGGGGGTCATCCTTAGACTCCCCACTGGACCCCAGCGGACCCCAGTGGACCCCAGTGGACCCCAGAGGA